AATCGCATCTATTACTGGATCGACGACCTCATCCCCTACCTTGGGGACTTTTTTCATTTTTGTATAATTTTCAAAAAATTGTAGTGCGGCTTTATATAGATCCTTTAAAAATTTCTTGGTTTCTTTGAAACATTTTTTGTCCTTTTCGTCTCTATCTCTCAGATCCTGGATGGTCTTGGTGCAGCTGCCCAGCTCTGTATAATCGTTCTTAATGTGAACCAGCATCTGATCCAACAAGCCTGTCAGACTGGCCACTTCCGTTTGAAGGTTGCTCATGCAGTCCAAGGACTCGGATATGCTGGCCTTGCCCTTATTGAGCGACTCGGCAATCACGCCCCACAAGATCTCCTTGTCGCCCGCCCCCAGATCCTGCCTCTCCACAGTGGGCAGGGTGCATTTGAGGGTCCTACCCATCGATAGACTGCTCCCGAAGACCGGATTGACGCATTGGTCGTACGAGCGAAGGACCTGTGTGCATCGGGACCGCAACTGGTCCAGTTGCCCCTTGGCCGCTCCCGGGTAGTCGAGCATGTCTCTGTCAATGATTCCAATGTCATTCTGCAGGCGGAACAGCTCCAGTTTCGAATAGGTGCTGGACTGGCACTCCTCAATAACATGGAAGAGTCCCACAATGATTCCTTCAACACAGGAATCGTCCCAGGCACGTCTTCCATTCGTCGTATGCCGTCTCGATGATCCACGTCCATGTGTATATGGTATGGAGAGAGCGACGATGTCAGTGTGTGACTTATATACATATATGAGGCTGCTGGCTCGACTACCCAGCTCGTGGGGCTCTCTTTCGGGGCGTAGCCAAAGAGTGTTTGAGGAAAGTACTGATTCCAACACCTACATGGACGTCCGACCTCATCCGATTCATTCATTCACTCGCTCAGAGGCCGTCAAGCCAGCAGGAATACCGAAAGCAGTAACCAGTTGTCTTAAATTTCAAAAAAAGGGAAACAAACACGAGGAGTCATGTGCAAACTAAGTGACAATCCTTTGGACAGACAGGTCTCGTTGCTCCGAAAGTTTATCGTAACATACCGAGAGGAGTTCGATGAGAAGGTCAACTTTCGGGGGCTGCAGGATGCCATCGATGCTATTGATAAAGCCATGCTGGGGTACGAGGGTGTGGCGAAAGAAAGGCTGGACAAGGTGCGGGACTTGAACTCGACGGCACGGCTCACGTACAAAAGGTGTGTTGGCCTGATCTTTGAGTGGAGTGTCTCAGCCTCGGAGACTTACAGGACCCTCCTTCCCGTCATTCGGAGAAAGGGTCTAACCGAGTCCGAAAGAAATATCATTTTGAATATCGTCTCCGAGTCGCTCAGTAGTGGTCTTCCGAAAATAAAAGAGTCTCTCAAGCTCCTCGAGAAAGAGGTTCTGGTAAAAGTGACCGAGCTGAGCGATCTATTCAAGTCCATTGAGCACGACGTCCACTCTGATTTCGGAGAAAATGGATTTTATGGAAAAAAGAAGCAAGAGCTGAGGAATAAAATCAACGAAAGCCACAAACAGCGAACTGCCGTCATTTTTGGCGCCATTACTGGCATCTACGGGCTCATCGGTGGTCTTATATTCGGACCCATTGGATTGGGTATTGGCCTGGCGGCTGGAATAGCGAAGTCCTTCAAAGTGAAGTCGCTCGTTGAATGGCAGGAGCAGAAGGACATTGAGAAACAATTGGATGCCATCGACTGTTTCTTCAAGCTCATCACAGAAAAACTTGGGGAAGCCCAAAAGGTGATAGGCGATGTTATAAAGGCCCTGGAGGAAGATAAGAAAAATGTAGGCGCACTCGCAGGGAAGTGTGAGAGTACAAGCAAGGTGAGTAATAGATATGGCATATATTATATATATTATATACATTCGATTTACAGTGTACAAATATGTTAGGGATGGAGGACTCGTTCATCCGGAACATGTTTGCTGATAATCTGGCGGGCCTACAAATCTTGTGCGAAAAATATGCCAAATGGCACGGATATGATCCGGTACGGTATGCTGCAGCTGGAAACTAATCATCTAAGCACTGTGCTCCTATAATTCTTCTGATCCATAACCAATAAAAACCTGTTACCGCAGCCCTACTGTCTTTTATTTGCGATGACCCCGAGGCCTGGCTGAACTGGCCCACGGTGCGTATACGTAATGTTCAAAGCAATAAAGTAAACTACAGCCAACTAAGTATTTAGTTTCCTTTATTTGGGATTAATATATGCACATTTCTTTGAGCAATATATTCGATTTATTCCATCGATCCGTGCCACTTGGTGTAGTTGTGGCACTGCTCCCTCAGATTCTCGAGAACTGGAACGAATAGGGCCCGGATGAGGGGGCTTTCGGATTTGAGCAGGGCTCCGTTCTGAAAATCGGTAGGATTAGCAAGTTTCTATAGGTTTCGATAGGCAATACCCACCTGGTGTGCCGAATCAATAGTTCCCCTAAGAACCCTTAGGTGTTTGATTTCCTCGTCCAGCTGTAGGTCCAGCCCGTTCTTCACAACCCGGCTGCCGTTTTCCACTGCCTCCTGCGACCTCTGGAAGAGGGTGTGAATGGCAATCAGCTTTCTTTCGTAGGATCTTATTCGCTGATTACTTTCGTCCAAAGCCCCTAATCCCGTCAAAGACAACAATCCTACAATGGGTATAATCGCTACTGTAATTAATGTGGCTCTGAACGCAGTATTGTGCGATTCTTCTTGCTCTTTCGAGACCTGCAGAGCCTTCTTCCTTTTTCCGTAGACCCCGTTGGGACCAAAATCGTCGTATAGGTCGTGCTGAATGGAATCCAACAGATCCTTCGCCTGACAAACCTTCAAATGAGAATCCCTCAATAGTTCCAGCGACTTGAGAGTCCTCTTCAGGCCGTCCTGCAGCGCGTTCACAGTCACACTCCAGGCGATGTCCATGTCCTCCTTGGTGGGATTCCCGCTGATGTGATTAAGGACAATCTGGAACTTCTTCCTGGCCATGGAACACCACACGAACACCAGGCCAATCCCTTCCTGGTAGTGGCTCAAGGCTGTTCGACTCAAAACATCCAACTTATCCATCTTCTTTCTGGCGCTACCCTCATAGTTCGGTCCAACATGTTCGTGCACTTCGTCGATGGCTTCCTGCAGTTTCTCGAACCGCACCCGCCTGTCCAAGTCGGTCTGGTACCTCACCACAACTTTCGCAATACTCAGCAGTCCCTCCTCCAGGTCTTTGTATTCCGCCTTGTGGAAACTACCCATGACATCAGCTCCCTTCGGACGTAAGTACGTAATAGAACGGCACCACCTCTTATCTCTGATCCGCAATCAGACTGAGTTACCAAAGATTGTGAAATCAGTTCCAGGTTCCCACCAGTTCCCCCGCACTGGTGTGCGTGAGAGACTCTCTTCGGTGTGACTGTGTGCCGGTGCCGGTCTCCCAGAGAAACGTAGACGGCGGAAATGGGGCCAGAATTCCGGGGGAAGCCCCGGATTCGGTTCTCCCTCCAGCGCATGTACATATTGAATATATAATATAGGTGCCCTCCGCCCGATAAGTGCCTTCTTAGAGACAAAGACATTGCCTGTTGAGGCACTCGAAGTACTCTTCTGGAATCTCGCACAAGCACCTCGGCCGGCGCTCACTTCCACCACTAAGACGACTACTACCACCACAAGGCTATTCCGCGAGTAGGAATGGCGCAGTAGTCGCAGTCGGAGAACTCAGTGGAGATCGAGACGTCGCGGACGCAGGTTCTCTTCAGTCGCGATACAAGTCACGTAGTCCGTACCCGCAGTACTCGATAAGCGCAATGGTTTCTACCGCCGACGCCCCCCAACCCCAACCCCAACCCCGAGCCCCCTTGGCTTCTATAGACGCCCAGGCCGTGGAGGACACCCTGGGGACTCTGAGAGAAATCTTGCGGGAGCTCGCGAAGGACGTCGACTCGCAGATGGGGCTGGCCAACCTGCAGTGGGCGTTCAACGAGATGGACAGAAACATGCTGGGCTACCTGGGAGTGGCTGGGAGCAGGGACAAGCTGGACCAGCTGCGGACCGACCACACGCTTGTGCGCCACGCCTACCGGAGGAGTGTCGACGAGATGTTCGAGTGGAGTGTCTCCGCCGCCAGCACTCTGGAGTCCCTGATTCCTCTTCTGGACGGGGCAGAGGCCTCTCCGGCGGACAAGGAACTCTTCTGGAAGACGATTGCCGGAGTTCTCGGCGCCGGCGTGGAAAGGGCAGAAGCTTCCCTCAACCACCTGCGTGAGTTGAAAGCCACCGCTCTGGAGGAGCACTTCCGGGCAACGCAGGAAAATCTCGAGAAAGACTTCGGCCCGGACGGCGTGTACGGCAGGAAGATGCAGAAGCTGCAGGCTCCACAAGCTGGCGAGGAACAACAAGCCAAGAAACCACGGACAGATGGCACTGATATTGGTGTGGACGTCTCGGCAAAGCCCTCAGAGAAGCCTACGAAGAGTTTCTGGAAGAAGTCCTCTAAGAAGCCCACGGAGGAGGTCCCAAAGCTGAGGAAAGAAGAGCTGGAAAAAATCGAGGCCCTGAAGCAAGTCCTGACTGGGAACCTTGAAGAGGCCATTAGGATGACGAAAGAGATGATTGACCACCTGGAGGCCGACAAGAAGAGGTTGACAGCTCTCGGCCAGCTGAACTCCGGCGAGAAGGTATGCCTCCATTCACAAAATGGCCAAGAAACGGACCTCCTCATGCTTTCCTTTGCCATTTCAGAATGTAGCCACGCTTCTGGTGGCCCACCCGGAGCTCTGGGATGGTCTGGTCCCGCGTCTGCAGGATCTGAAGAGGGAGTGTCTCTCGTACAACAAACTACGCTGCGGATAGGCTCTTCTGAAAGTTGATATATTTTTGAAGCACTCCTGTACTCCCCCGAGCATTATTCATGAATAAAATGAAACTATAGTTGGTATTTAGTTAGTTTAGGTTTAAGATTAGATCCCAGGATTGGGCAGTTCCGCCCAAACATATAGCTTTCAAAGAAGGTGACTTATTTTTAAAAGAAAACAAAAAATTGGCATTAATTTATTGAAACAGTCGAGTCCCGTCTGGAAAAGTAGAACCTAGCTACCCAAAAGAGAGGCCGCAATGGCCTCCGTGTCGAGCAGGGTCAGCTTGTTGGTTAGCTTGGACTTTTTGTAGGCGGGCTCCTCGTCCGAGTCGTCATCGGTGTCATCCTCGTCATTGCCACTAGCACCCTCATCTTCTCCAGCATCCGATTCCGATGCAGAACCATCCGGCGCATCACCATTCTCTTGGGATTTCTTTTTGTAAATCTTATCGGGATCGGGTAGCCAGGAGAGATCCACCGAGCCCTCACTGTCACTGGCCGCATCCATATGGTGCTCGTGGTCTTCCGCCTCGTCGTCCTCCTCCTCGTCGCTGCTGCCCTTGGCTGCTTCCGCTTTTTTGCGCAACTTTTCGCGCTGCAACTTGTGACGTTTCTTGACCAGCTCCCGGAACCGCTGCTTGTCATACTGATCCTCTTCGGTGAGCAATGCCTTGGACCTAACCAAATCAATGCCACCATCATCATCATCATCATCATCATCATCATCATGATCGTCATCGTCATCATTCCTCTGCTTCCTGGCAAGTGCCTTCATTTGGCTGCGTTCATCGGCCACCGATACGCCTTCTTCGTCGAACTTGAGCTTCGAGTTGACTTGCAGGTTCTTCTTCAATGCCTTCTTGGCCAAGGAGGCCTTGGTGACCAGCTTCTTCTCCCGCTTGGGCACCACCAGGGGTTCTTCCGCTGCCTTTTCATCTTTCACGCCATCCTTCAGATCCAGATCAACTGGTTCCCCCTCCACGTCGTGATCGCGTCGCTTCACCTTGATAAAGTCCTCATCATCACTATCATTCTCGTCGTCGTCGTCGGAGGCGCCGCCAAAGCTTTGCTTTTGCTAATCTTCGGCAGAAGCTTGTCATGAATGGTGGCCACCTGGTCAGGGTCCTGCTGTTGCTTCTGCTGCATCTGCTTTTGTCGCCAGAGGAACTTCTCCAAAAAGGGGACACGCGGCGTCACAGCCAGACCCAGGGACTGGGCAAAGGCGTCCAGGTCCAGGCTAAAGACATTGAAGAGCCGCTTGTTGCGCATAAGGAAGACCGATTTCAGATACGACAAAAATGCCCGCTGGGCAGTGGCTCTCAGTTCCGGAAACTGGGCCAGGAACGCTTCAATTTTGACGCGCGGCGAAAATAGCTTCTTGGGATCAATTTGGACGCATCGAATGTCCAGGTTAAGTTGCTCCTTGAGGGCACCAATCATATACTCCTCCTCGGTGGGCGTCAAAACGAGAAGGCATTCACCGCGGCTTTTGTTCCTGGCGGAGCGGCCAGCACGATGTATATACTGGGAGACATCTTCGGGACAATCCAACTGGACCACCCAATTGACGGCGGGAAAGTCAAGACCACGCGAGGCAACATCCGTTGAGAACATGACCACATGGCTCTTCTTTAGAAAATCCTCGTAGATGGCAATGCGACGATCCTGATGCAGGGTACCATACAGGGCCAACAGGGGAACGCCCGGACGCAGCTTACAGAAGATCTCGTAAAGATACTTGGCCTGCTTACAACTGGACACAAAAACAATAATCTTCTGCTTGAGGTGATTCTTTATAAAGGACCACAGCATTGTAATCTTGTCCTCCAGATTCAGGACAACATAGCTCTGTTGCAATAGTTCGGGCACTGCCAGCACGGCCACTTCCTTGGTGGAGGTGCTTGTGGCTTCGCCGCCGCCACCTGCTTTTGTCGGACCATAGCCCACATAGACAGGATCCTTGAGATTAAGCCGGGCCAGATCTTCAATGGTGTTTGTTTGTGTGGCCGAAAACAGAAGCGTTTGTCGATCCGGTGGAAAGTTCTCAATAATTGAGTTTAGGGTCTTTTGGAAGCCCATGTCCAGACACCGATCCGCCTCGTCCAGTACCAATACTTCCAGGCTGCTGGTGTTGAACAAGGGATTCTCATCCATGTGCTGCAACAGGCGGCCGGGTGTACAAATGAGAATATTGCACTGATCCATGCGGGTGCGCTCGAACTTCAGGTTCTTGCCGCCAATAATCAGGCCAGCGGAGAAATCATGGTGCTTGCCCACCTTCTTGAGGGTCTCGAATATCTGATATGCCAGCTCCCGGGTGGGTGAGATAATGATGGCAGCCACACCATCCGTTCGCGACCATTTGTTGATGAACAGGTGTTCCAGTACCTGAAAAATACAACAAATTAAATGGGTTTTGAGGGGTCAAAGGATCCATAACACCTACGGGTATCAGGAAGGCAAGGGTTTTGCCACTTCCAGTGACGGCTGCCCCCAGCACATCCTTCCCCATCAGCGCTGGGCCGATACTTTCCCGCTGCACCAGCGTGGGATTAAAAAACTTGAATTCCGCCAATGCCTTTTGGGTTTTTTGAGACAACGGAAAGTCCCGGAACTTCTTGATGGCCTGGGCATCTATTTCCGGGTATTTTGCCTTCAGGTCCTGGATTTCGGTATCCGTAGCAGCCAGTTTTGACTTCTTGACCTCCTCCCGCTGTCGTTTATGGTTGTTTTTGTTGTTCTGGCTGCCCTTGCCCGGTTGCGGCTTGAAGCCCTTGGCCCCGGATTTGAACCTTGGGCCGGGCTTGCCCGGACCTTTTGGTTTCTGACGTTGCATGTCCTGTTTATGTGGTCCAAAATCCAGGAGAATTGTACAAAAACACGTTCTGGGATTTTGATAGTTGCACGCGGGTATAACCAGTGTTGGATAACAATGGCATGCCAGCTGTTTGCGGCACTACTACTATTTGGCGTTAGGACATTTTGTTATAGAGCGCCAAATTCAAATTTTGCATTATCGAGAATTGACTTTTATAACTTGTAGTATTTATTTTTAAAACAATACACATATTCATATTGGATGTACTTAAATTCACAATACATATCTATATAATCTTGATCAAATGAAATAATCGTTTTGTTTTTATATCTCAAGGGGATCCCATTTCCCTCAATCCTTTCGATCGTTTCCATTCTGTCCACCATGGCCTGGGTAAATTGTGCCTTATAGTATACAGTATGCCTTGTTGTACATATATATATATATATATATATATCTGCACGGAGCTATACACACAATTATATATATATATGGTTGCCGATTGCGGTTGCGGTTCGGATTTCCGATGGGGTATGAGGATGTGATACGTTTACAATACATCGACTAGAGAGAGTACGGTTTAGAAATGACCATTCAACCAGGATACGATGTACAAGGATACATTGAGATAACTAGAATCGTGATCCATTTGGTATTTAGGTAATGAGACGCGGAGCATGCAGGCCGTGAACATTCTCGATGGGCGGGCAGTGGGTAGCGCCCGGCGGACCCCAGTCGTGAAGGCCACGAGAATTGGCCAGCCGATGGGTCAGCCGGTGGGCGATGCTGAAGCCGCCGCTGCCCTCCAGTTGGGTCAGCACAATGATCACTTGTCTGTAAAAGACGACGATAAATGAAGATAAAAATAATGAAAAAAAAAAAATATATAACTCACCTCTGCAGTGGGGGCACTGAATCCACCGTCTTGAGCTCGCCCCTTGTGGACACCACATTATAGCTCTCCTGGCAGTCACACTTCACATGGATCCACTTGTTCTCATGCCGGTTCTCCACCATCACAACCAGACCCGCCCAGCCCTGTTCAATGATAACCATATGTATATCCGTTGAACCATATTCTTGGATAGATAATATCTCACCTTGGTCAGGTAATAGGCGGTCATGCCTTCGCGTCCTTCATGCCGCTGTCCTTTGGTCAGGGTCAGACTGATGATGGCATCGGCCAGGAGATGCGGCGAAGGACTGATCTGCTCCACCAGCAGACGCTTCGAGCTGTGAATGGCCAGGATGCACTGGGGATACTGGTGGGGATCCTCTATGCCCGTATGCCAGTGGTTGAACGCCAGACAGACCAGCAAGTAGATATCCCGTTCCAGCATCTTGTGGCAGCCCACAAAGCCGCGCACCTAAAATGGATACCTCAAGGATCAGAGAGAGAGATGGGAGAGGAGTGGTGGCTCACCTGGCGCTTGCTATGCTCGACCAGACGCCCTATTTCCGGTGCCGCCGGCGAACGCGTTCGGAATATCACAACGCATAGATCCAGCTGAGAGCGCTGTGACTTCTCCGAATTGCGCTGGCCCTCCTGGAAGAGCGTGAACTCGGCCTCCGTCGGCTCCAGCACCGTTAGCAGGACACAGGAGATGGAACAGAGCGGTTGCAGGGTGCCCTGGAGTCGCACCTCGTTCCAACCGGACCGCACCTTGCATATATCGATGCAGTCGAAATAGTTGAGCACATCCTCGAACGAGATCCAGAAAACGCCTTCGCTGGCGCCGTGCGGCATTAGGGCATCGCGCAGATCGTCCGTCCATAGGGATGAGTCGTCCGACCAGTCGCCACGCCACGAATAGTGTCCCCAGGGATTGCGCAACTTGAGCAGCCGATGGCCCTGGATATCCTTGACATCCAGCACAGAGTAGGCGTGTCGCGGACGCAGGCCCTTCAGCTGGTACTCCTCCTCGTCGACCTTCATGTTGCCGCCGCCACAACTGGCGCCCATGAGGAAGCGAACACACCGCGAACTGAGCAGCTGGGCCCAGATCAGGTCCTTGTCCAGCTCGTCCTCGCTGGGCATGGGCAAGCTGCTGGCCTGGAGCGGTATACTCTCGCAGGGAGCGCCCGTCAACGTGGCCAGGCCCTCGATCGCCCGCCCAGACACCAAAGCCTCATAGCAGCCATGAATCTTGGCCACCGCCTTCTCGATCAGCGGCACCCACAGCTGCTTGCGCTTCGCCTGGGAGTAGACCAGATGTCCGCGCTTGTCGCAGGGCAACAGATCATCCACCAGCACAGTTGTCCACTTGCCGTCTTTGCAGAGACGCACCTGGCGAGGGTTCCACACAAAAGTCAACAAGATCTTGAAGAGAAATCCTAAATCCGTTTAGGATGCGAAAGACTCACCTGGTAGGCACCCTGACCGCAGATCTCCTTGGTGACCAGCACCTCCTTGACCAGATCCTCGCGTTCCGCCAGCACAGCCAGAGCGCTGAGCAGCCAACAGTTGCCCAGCACACCCTGGCAGATGTCGGAGGGCAGCGGCGTACGGAAGACCGCCCACGGCGGATAGGCGCCGCCATCGCAGTTGATCTCGTGGGGGCGACGCCACTGGACAACCGGATTACCCTCGGCCGCTCCACCGGCCGGATTGTAGTACAAACTCTTGGGCGCCGGCGGGAAGGAATCGTCAACGAAGAGCTCGTTGTTGTCCCGGCAATACTGGATGATGTTTTGCCACTTGTTGAGCGCCTCGGTCTCCTCCAGCTGACGGAGATTCTCCATCAGCTTGCTCTCCTGCCGAATATCGGCCGGGGTGAGAGCCACCCGTATCGATTTTCTGGCCAGAGCCTCACCCAACACAGCCGTGGCTAGGCCACGCGGACTGGAGCATATGTCACAGACGACGGAGGCGGCACAGTTCTCATACGTGCACGCCGGACACTGCCACTTCTTGGAGCTGGAATTGTTTGTTAATGGAGTGATGGAGCCACCTCCACCTCCGCCCTGTTGGAGGTTGTAACTGGCAAGGCCAGCTATCGAAATGTTCCGGGGAACGATGGAACCGCCAGTGCTATGACGTTTTGGAATGGCTCCCGAGGAGCTTCTTTGTTGTTGCAACTGGGAATGTTGTTGCTGTTGCTGTTGCTGCTGTTGTTGTTGTTGTTGTTGTGGTTGTTGTTGGGGAAGCAACTGCTGCTGCTGCTGGTGCTGCATCCTGGGAGATGGACTTCTAGAGCCACGATGTCCAGCAGCTGAGGATGATGGTATTTGCAGCATGGGCATTGCCACAGATGTTAATGGAAGATTCAAAGATGTCGGTGTTTTGATTTCTCCACTACCCGCACCTCCACCTCCACCTCCACTTCCTCCTCCTCCACTAGCGGCTGCTACTGCTGCTGCTGCTGCTGCATCCTGCTCCTCATATGACTGACCATCCGGCCGCTCCCTAACAGCTTCCAAAGCCATCGATAGCTGAGGCTGGCGATGCGACTTGCAGGCACTGCAAACCGCCGAATGGAGCGAGTTCTTTAGAGTACAATGGCTGCAGGTCCAGAACTCGCCCTTGCGCAGCGTCATGTCCTCAATGGAGGAGATGCTCTTCAGCTTCGATCCGCCGCAGACCACACATGCCATGGCCGTGGAATAGTTGACGAGAGTGCATTTCTTGCACGTCCACGGCTCATCGCGAGTGGTTTCTATTCAAAGGGGTATTGGATTCAGTATGGATATACATGATATTCTCTAGAGGAAGACCCACCTGTTAGCTGCTGCTCCGGCTTGGCCTCGCACATCTCACAGGTTTGGAGCCAGAGCCTGTTGTAGGCATAGGAACATTTAATGCATGTCCACATCTTGTTGCGGCTGACGGACTTGCTGTTGCTGTTGTGCCTCGTCTGTCCTCCGGGTACGGGTCCTCCAGCTTGTCCTCCTCCAGTGGAACCAGTGGCGACAACGCGACTCCCACTACCAGAATCATGCGTTCTACAAATTTTTAATTTCAATGAATTTCAATGAATCTCTTCAAGAAAACGAAACAAAAGCTCGATGGCTTGGAGAACCAAAAAAAACAAACTGAATTCCCGGCCGGGATTAGTCACCACTCCCCATACTGCCAGCATTATAGCAAAAAAAATAATCAGTAAAGTTAAGTAAACAAAAAAAAAAGCAGAAAAAGCAGAAAACTGATAAGCTGGAATGGAATTTACATTTTTGATTCGGTGGCTTTGCGCGGTCCCTTCCAGACCTTGGCATAAATCGAATGCTCCTCCACCTGGGATGCCAGCGATGCCTGTGATGTCTGTGATGTCTGCGATTCGGATTCACTTGCCTCGCCACTACTACCCAATCCCGTCAAGGTATTCGTGGTATCGGGATCTGTGATTAGTTCGGTGCTGTTGCTTCCATTGTTGTTGCTGGCCGTTGTTGGTGGTTTCTTTTTTAATTTGTGCTGCTTGTTCACCTGGGCATAGATGGGCATAGTGGGTGTGTCTCCTCCTCCTGCTCCTCCTCCTCCTGCTGTTCCTGCTCCTCCTGTTTTGCTTGATCCTGATCCTGGTGAGCCAGCTATGGCCACCGCTGTGGCTGCCACTTGAGCTGCCTGGGCAGCAGCTGCTCTAAGCTGCTGCTGGGCCAGGGCCACACATTCATTTTCATACAACTTGTTGCTGCTACTCCCACTTCCATTTCCACTTCCACTGCCACTTCCGTTTCCGCTTCCGATGTTGTTATTATTGTTATTGTTGATACTGTTGCTATGATGATGATGATGGTGATGATGATGGTGCTGCTGCTGCTGCTGTTGTGGCTGCTGCTGTTGATGATTATTGGAGCTGGAGCTGGAGGAGCTCGGCTCCGACCACTCGTTCACGGCTATGAAGACGCCGTTCCGCGGAATCGTGAACTGCGTTGGATTCATACCCACTGCTGGTGATGCTACTGGTGCTTGTGGAGCTGCTGCAGCGGGTTTCCGCTTTTGCAGATTCTGGGAAGGATTCCCAACTCCTCCTTTTTGCTGCTGTCGCTGCGGCTTGGCCTGATTTTGATTCAGATTCAGATTCAGATTGGGATTCAATGGATTCCTTATGGGATTCTCCTTGGCTGCCGATCGCGAGAGCGTGGTGATCGTAAAGTTGTACTTCTTCTTCGCCCCACTCTCCCGGACCACCTTGTGGTTTTGGTTTTTGTTGTTGTTGTTCTGCTTCCGCCGGCAGAAGGTATCGTTCGCGATGGCGAAACGAGAATTGCTGCAAGCGGCCACCGGCGGTGGAATCCCAGCTAGAAATCAATCAAGGATTAGTGCCAGAATATACACGGAGATGCATATGTATGTATACCCACCTGTCAGCTGAGGCGTGGGCTTGACCTGCGGCAGATTAAAGATGTCCTTGCTCTGGTTGTTGGCATAGCAGATGTGGCAGCTCCGTCCCGAGCTGCTCTTGTCAATGGCGGTGCTTAGGCTTTGAGTGCGTCGCAGACCAGCTCCTCCTCCATTAGCACCACCTCCACCTGATCCACCGACTGGTCCCAATCCCGATCCAGCACCAGATCCAGCCCTAGTTATGCCACTCTTTAAATGCCGCTTATGGGAATGCTGATGCAGATTCTCCTCCAATTCCGGTTGTGTATGATGATGATGGTGATGATGATGATGATGTTGATCGGATGCCAAAAGTTCACCGCAATTGCCGAGACTACCGGCCAGATCCTGGCCACGCTGATCCTTGTAGATGGGCGCCAAATAGCTAACCGTGTCACAGATGAGACAGTGCCATGTTACGGAGCTGTTCTCGGTGCCGCAGGCATGGCACACCCATCGCCGGTTCAGGGCCGGATTCGAGAAATGCCGATATAGTTCAATGGAATTCTTAATATATTTTCGTGTATCCTCGCAGTCCACACAGTTGGAGGTCAGATTTTGGCTGTTTCGTTGCGGCCTCTTCAGGCATCCGCGCAGCAAGGACTTGTACACATGCTTATACTCGCTCCTGCAAAAAAGGACAAAGGATTTTGGGATTCGGACCCGAATTGTTGGTACTTTCTTTTTTCTTTTCTTCCTCTTAATTGTTTAAATTAGTTTTATTTTTTTTTAAATAATTTTTTAATATAAAAAGTCCTTGGTGAGGAATGTTCTATTATCCTTGTTGGGGAGCTGCTAGTTGCCCAAAAAAATATAGGAGCTCCTCCAATCGATAAACTTGTAAACAATGCTTCTTTATCCAAATCGATTTTCCCCAATTCTCTGCCTCTGCCTCTGCCTCTGTCTCTGCCTCTGCCACTGCCGCGGCCTGCCTGCTGTTTGTTGTTGTTGCTGCTGCTCCTGCTTCTGTATACACACACACACACACACACACATACAACTGCAAACTCAACAGAGACAATCTCCAGTGCTGACGGTTTTAGCTTTTTTCCCACCAAAAAGCTATTCTTTCGCGATTTTTCTTTTAAAAATTTTAAATTTTCAATTTTAAACTAAAACTAAGATTCAAAAACAAAACAAAAATATTTCTTAATAGGTTTTTTTGTTAAACAATCGAAATTTTATTTACAAAATATATATAAAATAAATAAAAAAAAGTAGCAACAATTTTGGACAAAAAGTTTATAATTATATTGTAGTTCTTTTCTGAAAGTTTTTTAAACTTAAACTTAATTTAACTATGTGGGTTAATATTCCATAGTTTTATAAAAACTTTCCAGATTCGTAGATATTTCCATTATTAAAATTATATAAAAATTAATTAATTAAATAACATGCCAATTAAGGTTTTAATTTAATTATTTTCTTTTATTAAAATAATTCAATATAATTTGAAAATAATAAATACTTAAATAAAAATGCACATATTTTTTAAAATAGTTCAGTCTATAATTTAATATCACAAATAATTAAAAATACTAAACAATTTATTAATAAATATAAATACATGGGTAATTAGAAAAACTAAAATATATTTAAAATAAATTTCAATAATTATTAAAAAATCATAGTTAATGTTAAAAAATATATATTTTTCTTTATATAAATCACAATAAATAATAAAACTAAATAAATTTTAAAATTAACATTTATTTTTTGATAAAAAATCTGTTTCTTTTTTTTTTGTTTTTAATTTTTTTTGCATCCCCCGCCATAACGGTAACCTGTCAACACTGGCGCCCCACACATACACACAAATGCAAGCTGTTTGTTTTTGTGGCGACGCACCGCCGCCCCTCGGCTCCACTCCACCGCTTACCTGGCAACCGCCTTGCTGCTCCCCTTCTCCTTGCTGTCCTTTTCCTTCTCCTTGTCTCCTTGTTCGACGGCTGCAACGGCGGCGGCTGCTCCATCAGCTGGCCAGGAAGTGGACGACGGCGGCCCTGGATTTCGGCGATAAGTTTGGTGCTGGTGCTGGTGATGCGGATTGGGGAAGACTTTTCGCACCGTGCCGCAATTGAAGCACCTGAGCGACTCTGTCGGATTGATGGTGTTGCACTTGGTGCACGACCACTGCAGCACCGACGAGATGGTGCCCATTTCCAGTGGGGGAATCCCCGTCCAAATTCGGACTTACAGATACCTCTTTTTTTCTTTTACGTTTTTTTTTTTTTTTCCTAGCTGGGTGGTTGGGGCAATGTTGTTGCTCTTGCTGTTGCTATTATTGTTGTTGTTGTTGTTGTTTGCTGTTGCTGGTGGATTTGATGCGGCGGTGGTGGTGGTGGTGGTGATGATGCGATGCAATGCGGGAATATGAGGGGGATGCACCAGCTCAAGATGAGCTTAACCAGGATGAATACCAAGCGATGGCTACCAGTGGCATCCGTTGCGCAGCACCTCCTGCGTTGCATCCAGCATCAGCGTCAGCGTTCTTAACTGTTGCAGCACCGCACGCAGCACACATATTTGCCACAAAACGATTCAGTACCGAGCCGAGGACTAACAAAAAAAAAAAAAAAAACAAAAAAAATAGAAACCGAAATACGAGAAAAAAAAAACCGAAAGCCCGAGAGCGAAAAACCGAGAAGCGCACACAAATCCACTGGGCAGAGCCAGGCCCGCATCCGCATCCGCACCGCTGGCCAAAGGATATTGCACTTGCACACACAGGCACCAGGCTCCGCTGCTGCTGCCCAGTTCCAATGCGAGATACGAGATGCGTAGGATCGGGTTAATATATAATATATCACATATCACGAGTAATTCTACATTCTACATACGTAGAGGTGGAGAAACATCGATATTTAGCAGTGACTATCGATGTTTTTGGCCCATCACTAAAACGTTCTAATGTGACCGTTTTTCTTCGAGCGAAAATCTTTATATGGTCCATCACTAGCCCGTTTACAGAGTGGCATGTCTGCTGAAATGTTATCGGCAATCAGGCAGCCCTATGCTTTGGCGCCATATATCTACTTTCTTTAAAATAATGAATTACTTTTATATACGTTTGTTTTTTCAACTAATACTTTATAAAACAAAGTATCCTAACATACAAAGCTTTATAGCCGTTTTATATTTGTCGATAGTAGATGCTTTTATAGGACATCGAAAAGCACACGTGGCACCAAGGTCGTGACCCATAGCTGTCATTTTAGTTGCAAAAAACTATATTTAAAAAGATAACATTTCTACGCCACAGAGATATTTAAAGTAAAATCATTATATAACTTATATATAAATTAAATACACCAATTAAATAAAAAAAAGGGAAGAAAAAAAATGACACACGAAAAGTATGACCAAATCTTGTAAAATGACATGCATGAATTCTTTGGTATTTTTCAACCCAGCCTGTCACAGTCACATTTGGTCCACCATTTTGGAGTTGCCACAGATTTTCAGAAAAAAAATTTTACAAGTGTTGAATATTGTGGCAAAAAGACAAGAAGATCAGTACGCGCCAAAAGCAACGGTAACAGAGTGCACCGCGATACAAGGTTCACGGAGTGGGCAATCCCGGTGGACAGGACGACAGTAATTCCGTTCCGGAAGCGAGGCACCTGGAAGAGGAAGAACTGTCAGGCGACGAGTCTATCTAAGGAGGCGACGGAACTGTCAGCCGGACAGTGCAAACGAAAACGCCACGCAAATAGAACAAAAATCCGATTTCTGGGAAAGCAGCAGAAGTAGCAGTAGCAGCAGCAGCAGCAGCAGCGGCAGTAGTAGCAGCAGCAGCAGCAGCGTTAGAACAAGTTTGTTACAAACCTAACAAAAAAAAAAAAAAAACCAAATAATAAAAATAATTAAGCTAGTTGGTACGACCATAACAATGAATGCCAAACGTGTAAAATACTCGACGGCGATCAAAGAGGAGATTGTGCCTGTCATCTTGCATGAAGATCCGGAAGAGGTCGAGGAGGTGGAGGCCCACGACGAGAGCGGCGACGGAGATGGTGGCGAAACTCAATACACCTATGCCTACACCACCAACGAGGATGATGATACCGAAACGGCTGTGGTGACTCTCAGCGACCGGGATCACGAGGCCCTGGCCAACGCCCAGGAGGTGATTATCGATGAGAACGGCCATCCCGTATCTTTGCAACATTATGTGGAGAACAGCACCGTCGAGGAGGTTGAGACTATCGAACAGGGCGACGGCACGCACACAATTCTGCACATCGTACCGAACAGCATGCACGATGATCAGGACGAAGATGACGTCGAGGACGAGGAAGTTGATGACGGCGAGGAGCTGGATGAGGACGAAATGGTCACCGTAGAGCATGAAGTTGAGGGCGAGGAGGACGACGACGATGTTGGATCTCTCGTCTTCGAGGGCACCATTGATCACGGCGCCGAACAGGAGATGCATGGCCGTAACAAGACCTTCTATTGCCCCAACTGTGGCAACTGCTACAGTGCCGCCGGTTCGCTCAAGCTTCATATGCGCGCCTGCTTGCGCCAGCGTAACGAGGTCTCTACAGAGGACCGCAAGTGCAAGGTGTGCAGCAAGGTCTTCAACTCGGTGGCCTATCTGAAGGAGCACATGATGCGCCATACCGGCGAACAGCCGTACCGTTGCACCCGCTGCTATCGCAAGTTCGTTGACGAGTCCAAATACACCGCGCACATGGAGTCGCACAAGCACCAGGATAAGCTCGAGGCCGAGGCCGTCGCATTGGCTGCTCAGCACGGCGGCAAGAAGGTGGTCGTCAAGGAGTTCAACTGCTCCTTCTGCTCCCAGAACTTCACTGTCGTCTTTGACGTTGGACAGGTTAAGCGCCGCTATGCCTGCGACGCTTGCCGCGACAAGTACTCCAACGCCGAGGCACTGCGTCAGCACAAGCAGCAGGTGGAGGAGAAGCGTGAGTTTAGCTGCGAGCGCTGCGGCCGCAAGTTTGTGTTCGAGGGCTTCCTCCAGCGCCATCTGCCGACCTGCGATGGCAGCATTAAGCGTCGTCGGGATATGAAGTAGAGGCGGCGCCAGCGACGGCGATCACCACCAGAGTCGCCGCCGCCGCCACTGCCACGTTATGTTGTTATGGACGATCGGATTCAGCCAAAAATCGAACTGGTTGACGACGAAGAGCAGCAGCAGCAGCAGCAGCATGGGGAGCTGGAAGAGATTGAGGAGCTAGAGTTTCTAGAGGAAGACGACGAGGAGCATGATTTGTATCTGGAGGAACAGCAGTAGCAGGAGGAGGATTGACAACAACAACAACAACTACACTAATATCAACACTTTTTACACTTAAAGAACACAAAAAATATAATAAGAAGCCTGCTGGCCACAAAAATTTGCTAGCACACACCACGCATACAACTTTCAAACAGAAAATGCCTCGGACATCTTCTTAATTATTCCAAAGGAGAGAGTTCTTATCTAATATATATATATATATATATATATATAATAATAATAATAACTAATATAATATTGTTCTTTATAACTTTATAAGAGTATGATGGAGGCCAGCAAGCGCTATTAAATAGATGCAACCGGTAGGAAAACGGACACGGATGTCAGATGGCGGATGATGGATGGCCAATGTATAGAACTTACATATATATATATATATACGTACATTTAATTACAACTATTTAATGGTATATTTCACACAAATTATGCTATTATATAATAAGGGAATCCAATCGATGTTGAATTCGAGAATAAAACCAAATCCTAAGATTTGATTCTTAATTTTTTTTTCTTAGAAATTTTCACCATTTTTTTACCAATTGACCAAAACTTAAGAAAAAATATGTTTAATGGAATCCTTTTTGTTTTTTTTTTCGTTTATATAAAGCCGCTACTTTCTTTTGAATTAATGATTTAAAACTGTACAATAATAAAGTCACATCTAAAAATACAAAAAAAAAATAAATAAATTGCAAGAATATATTTTATTTAAAGGGCAGAATATAGTTGAATGGTGGGGACTCCCCCGAGTTGTCCACCGTAAACGGCCATTTTTGAGCACTGTTTCCAGCTGGACGGCAACACCCCCACCCGAATATCTGGTAACATTGGTCCTCCAGGAAACCGAAAACCCACAGGCAACAGGCAACTCTTCCCATTTTGAACCAATCGGGTGCATGTAATTGAGTCAAAAATGAGCGCTTAAGCGATTCTACTAACAAAAAAATGTGGCTTTTACAATTAACTAAATCCAGGGCAGTTCCCCTACCCGCTTTGATCAGCGGGGATCAGCTTCAGGATATCCAGGAACATCCAGGATTTAGGACCAGAGCTTGAGGTGGGCACGCTTGGCGTACGATTTCCAGTCGGAGTGGGCATAGAACTCCTTGAAAATGGGCGTGACCAGGGTATCTTCCGGCAGGGTCTTGTAAACGGGCTCGCCGTACCAGGTTCCCACCTCCCATCCGGGAACGTTCTTCATCAGCTCAGCCTCCTCGTCACGGTTGCGACGCAACTGGCGCAGGAATTCGCGATCCCGTTCCGCAATAAGGATCGGATAGATCACATTCTGGGCGGAACGCATCTCGATCTCGTCGCGTTTCACCTTCTTAGCGGTCAGGTAGTAGATGCCCAGACCCACGGTGGTCACTGCCACATAGGCGCCAATCATGGTGAAGCCTGGCAAGAGTACAATACGTGGTTTATTTCATATCTAAGGCTGACAGTGTATAGATAGATAAAGGTTTCTTTACCTGTAAAATAGCTTTTAGGAGGTACACGGGCGAAGGGAATCTTCTTGTAGCCGCCGGGTGGCGGAAGATCCTGTTTCGGGGCGCAATTTGGCACGGCCGTGGCCATGGTGACTCCTCCTGCTGGGGGCAAAGTTATCAGTTGAATAAAAAATCGAAATATACAACGCTTACGCTTCGGTTAAGAGTTGAAAAAATGAAAAGTTCGACAGAAAAATCAAGACGCGTTTTGCATAACACCAGAGTCAGAGATGAGCGATAGTCGATAACCACACCGATAAAAATAGACTTTTATTTTAACTTTTATCTATTATCAGATTATATTAATCAAATATATATAAAAACATAAAAAATTTAAAAAAATATATATTTAATATTCCATATATGTAATGCGTGAAGATTTTTTATCGCATAAACATCGATTTTTTAATCGCTCCTAAAAATCGACCTCTAGGAAATCTGTCAAAGTTTGTCATTTTCGAAACGAGCCTCACTTCATTATTATTTGTATTTTAATAAGAGCGCACACAAGCTGAAAAATTCGGTTGGTAAATATTTCTTCGAACCTCATCAAAATGAACCTTTTCCGCTACTTAAATGCTTGTTCGAGCGTTCAACTCCAACGTCGCACGTTGGCCAAAAAGTCGATCTGGGACTCAACACCATTTGGGCTCCACCGTTTGCGCCCCAAGCAGGAGGAGCCGGCGACTGCCGAAGGAAATCAGGGATCAGCCGAATCCAAACCACAAGCAGCTAAACCGGAGGCACAAGTGAAAATCGACAAGGTGAGTTTGCAAAAAAAAAATAATTGTTGTAATAAGTGCGTAAAAGAGACATAAGATTTGCTAATCATTCTTTTGGTCGAATAATCTGGAAGAATATACGAAATCATTTCAAACTCATTAAAATCAATCAAATCAGAATGGTTGATTTAAAAACCGCGCTCATATCGGCGCTTTGCGTGGGAGGTCTTCCAACGTTTACCAACACCAAACCGCGACTTTTCGTAGTTTCGCGTACTCTCCCGCAGTGCTGACATTTTAGTTATTTTTCCATATTGGAAAAATAGAAGAAATTGAACTATATTCTATATTATCTATTCTACAAGCTTGCAGATATAAACCTTTATAAAAAAAGGATATGAGTTTCTTTAAATATATTTTATAGAAATGACCGTATTTCTTTATAGTTAGGTAGTTGCGATATCAGGCCATCAGGTCCTATCAGGCGGCTTAAATCTTTTTATATATAAATTTTATTTTTTAGCCATTTTTAGCTATTTATATTAGCCAATTTAGAATCCCATACACCCACGCAACCTCTGTAGACAGGTTGAATAGTGTGGCCAACTAGCGATCGGTGCGCGACGTTGCAACCAGCGATGCCAGAATTTCAATATATTCCACTTTTAGCTATTATCTATAATGGCAACACTGTTTAGCTCAGGAAGAATATTACACTGGCGGTTCATTCAGTTTCCGCGCCCAGCCAAGAACACTTTACACTCCTAAGAAAGCAGCCAATTCTTTCACCGAGGAAAGGCAATTTTTTTCAGTGCGTGTGCGTGTTTAAAGTGTGCGAGAATTTAGCCAAAGCGAAAGTGTTGTAATTCACTCTCCAAAGAGCCGCATCAACGTATTACTACCATGTCGCTCTATCGCATTACCACACGTAAATTGGCCGAGGCACAGGTGAGATTTTTTTTTTTTTTTATTTTTGTATTACGACCCCCCGACCTCGCTCTTAGCCCTACTCCACCTTACTTCACACACACACACACAGTTTCCTAGTTTTCCGGATATAAGATTCCTGTTTTCCAGCGTTCTATAACTGTAAAGTGTGTTTGGCTTATGTTGTCATCTTCCTAGCTATATCCTCCCTCAAGCCTCTCTTCTTCCTTGCCTCTCTCTTGTTCTCTCTCACTTATACTTCGTTTTTAACTCTACACGTCACGCAAAAAAAAAAAAAAAAAAATCGAAAAAAAATTTCAGCCATGTGCTTGCGATTAAGAAACTTTTTCGCTTTTTTTTTTTTTATTGTTGGCTTGGCCTGGCCGACTGATAAGTGAAATTCATCATCTTTCCGCTGCGTGTGTTCTAATACATTACATAATCGTAAACGTAAACGTTTGGGAAAAAAGATTATTCGCTTGTGGCTGTCTGCTTGGCTGTTTGGCTGCCTGGCTATTTTGGCAAACGCCCCGAAAAACCGAAAAAAAATGTATAAATAACATTTTTGTAGTTTCACGAGTTTAACGAACTCGATTGGCGGTTTCTCTTCACATTTCGCTTCTCGTTGTCTTTTTTTTTTGGGAAATTTCCACAAGTCCGGCTTACAACGAAAAAAAAAAAAAAATGAAAGAATTTATGGCCTTATTCTTGTAATCTTACAACAACAACAATAAAGGGCCTAAAATGGCCCTCTCTTAGGTCAGCGTCTCTTCTTCTCACCAGGTAGCCGCTGGCTCTCTCTTCTGTCCTCTCTTTTTCTCTCAGCCGCCCAGCATCCAGTGGCGTTCTCAGGATTTGCAAGGAATTTAATTTTCAGAAAATATATATTACATGAGAAAAATTGGGAAAAAATTTAAAAAATATTACAAGTATATATATATCTGGTTAACCGTCTTTTTAAAATCATCTACGCCCTCTCACCCACGCCTCTGCCAGCGTCGGTTTTGTTCCGTTTCCCATGCGTGTCACGTTTTGTTGTTTTTGCCAAAAAGGAAAATTACTCTTCTCCGCTTTCTCTCTCTCTCCCACTCGTTTTGCGGCCAAGAAGAAAAGTCCGCCGAATGACCTTAAAGAAAAGCAGGAGAAACAGCCAACAGCCGCCCACTTACCACCCACTTTTCACCTACCGCCCCCTCGGACAGTGCATTGCAAAACACACAGATATTTGCACAGATTATGCAATAGATAGAAAAAGCCGAAAGAAAAATGTTGTGGCCAAAGTGCGGCATTATTTTTGAAAAATCAATAAAAGTTGCTACAAAAAAAAAAATATATAGAAAAAAAAGGGCCTGCAGGACGAGCCTCCTTTTGGGAGAGAGAGAAAGCGCGAGAGAGTGCCGCCTGACAAAGAGAGTTTTGGCTACCGTTTTGGGGGATGGCTCTCCACTCTCTACCGTGATATGGGCATGGGTGGGCAAAAATGAAGAAAACGGGGGACCAAAGCCCTTCGAAAGCCCACCTGAAACCCCCCTTTTAAATATTTGTTGCACTCGCCTCTGGCAATTGAGTAATATTTATTTTCCGCGAGACGGCGAGGATTCTTGCCAAATGTTATGTGTACTCTTATCTTTTTTTTTTTTTTAAATGTTATTTATTTATTTTATATGTATATTTGGCAATTGGCCAGAAAACGCGCGCTGACGTTTTACTTTTCTTCTAGTCTTGTCTCTCTTGTTATTTTTTTTGCTATAAATAATTACTGTAAATGTTAAAGCATTTTCTATAAATTTTATCAAAAAAAAAAAAAAAAATAAAACGCAGAAAAACAAAAATATTATTTTTTTTTTGTCGCGTTTGACGTAGAAATTGCAAACACGCGAAATTTTTTATCGTCCATCCGCTAATACGTCACAAATCGTGACGTTGCTTACATAACGCCACGGCCCTTTATAGACAAAAAAAAACAACAACAACAACAAAAACAGCAGACTAAACAAAAGACCAAAGAGCATTAGGCAGAGAGAGAGTATCTTACCAAAAAGAGAGAGGGAAAGTTAGAGGGAAGAGAGTGGGTAGAGGGCGTGCAAAAATAAGGCAAAATTAAACAGCTGATCAAGCGATTGCATAAGAACTCAAAAATGCATAATATATTTTACAGTTATTTTTTTTTTTTTTTTTTTTTTTTAAATTGTGGCAGCACTCGATTAGATGATTTGAAATCTAAATCGAGATTTTATGGCCGTGTTCCAAAGCTCAAGTGGACACTTTTTACCTGGATTATTCCAGCCCATTATTCCAGGCTAAGGTATGCTGGTCGCCAGATAACGGTTGTTTCAGCAACGTCATGGAAAGTTAGAGGAAACGGTTTTTTTTTTGCAAGATAATGGAGGGTGTGGGGGGTTGTCGAGTATTTGTTGTAAAAATAATCCATCATTTTTGACAGTAAAATTTTTGCATTTATTTTTAAGATAAATAATAGGTTTTCTCATTTTAAACAAGGTTATGTAAGTCTTTAGCTTTGAAATTTCTTATGATTTCTTAATGAAATAATAATGATAATATAAAGATATAAGTATCTGATTTTACTTGTTTTTTTAATCGCAAAAAACCCCTTCACATATGTACATATGTATACTTTATATACAGCACTATATCATATATATATATATATAGCTGATAAGCGTGACAAATTTGCTGCTGGGCACATGATCGGTGAACGCCGCCATATCACTGATAATACCGGGGACACGCAAAGCCCCCCCTCTGGGAAGAAGGTGTTAACTCAATCAGTTTAGTTTTATTTTTATTTATTTTTTTTTTATTTTATTACCAAATATTTGTGTTTATATTTATGATTATTTTGCAATGCGCAACAGATGTGGTTAGTCCTTGGGGCTTAGTACATATATATGTATATCATATTAATGAGAGGCTTTTAGGGGCTTAGATATGATATGATATTGGAACCTTACATCCTATATTTTAGTTTCCCAAGAATTTGTAGAGTTAAGGTTCCCTTCTCTTTAACAGAATCCCCCGTTTCTTGTGAATAATTTATTAAAAGTCGTAAAAGTCAGCACTCAGCACCCAGCAACAGAACCCCCTCCATGACTGGGATCAGATCCGCCGACACTGAGGGGGGATTACGTCACGCGGTACTTTTTCAATACGCGATATACGATTGTCGGATGTCTGTTTACTTTCGGCGACTGGGTCGGAGAGATCCAACAATGAAGGGGGGGATATATCATTATAGACACTGCCAGAGAACAGTGCACTAAACTTAATTAAGACGATTAAAGCGAGGCAGCTGCAATTATTTAACAACAAGCGGTTCTGTAAAAAAAAAATGATCAAAATGAAAATTGAAAACGTCACGCAAGGCAAGGAGAACCCAAGGTTTTCATAACTCATCAAAAGCCTAGATCCATAGAGCATCATATTCTATGGTTTAGACCTCTTAACTAATCATCACTGTAAGTAACAAAGTCTAAAACAAAAAATATATACATATATCTCTACAATTTGGGGGGTCATTTGGCGGCTCACCTCGATGACAACTCTGCTATATATTTTTTTGCAATTCTCTAGAGACAAGGCTTTCCCGGAGAGAGAGCTATAGATAGATTAAAGATTGCATAACGATCGAAAGAAGTCTATGTCGTGTTTCGGTTAGAACACGCGACTATGTATAACTCTGCTTCCTTGATGACATCCCCAGACTAGTTAGACATGGCGATAATTGCCGGCGCGTGAGACCTTGAAATTCATTATAGTATGTGGCTTTACCGGGCCCATTGAGGCTTATCAGCTAGATGAACGAACGAACGCACGCCTCTGCCTCTGCCTCTGCCTTCCAGATAATGATAATGAGCCCCCTTCCCGGGCACTTTTTTTGTATACAAATGTTCTCCCAAAATCCCCCCAAAAAAAAAACTCGAGATAAGATAGACATGCCACAGTGGAACTTGGTTATGCAAGAACACTTCTCTTTTTTGTTATTTATTGTTTTATTGTATTATTTATAATATCATTTAACATCATCATGACAGCTCAATTAATAATTTCTTGCTTGGTTTCCGATTTTCTTTCATTTTGCGGTTTGCACTTGCCAACAAAATGACGTTTTGTTAGGTTTCCAATTACACCATACACTTGGAGAAAAATTTCTACAGGAAAATAAAGTAATATAATACATATAAAATATAAAAATAATTAAATTACAAAATTTTTATTAAAAAAATAGGTAGTGTTTTTGATTTATTTAATTAAATCAAATGATTTTATTATTTTTTCTCAGTGCATCATTTAGTATATGTTTTAAAACATAATTTATTGAGTCTGGGTTTATTTTTATATTTTTTATCAATGAATATCGGGTTTTTTTTTATCGGAATGTCCAAAAAAACAAAAAAGAGAAGAAAGAAAACCGGTTTGGGATACAAATCAATGTTCGCGAATCGTGCAATTCAATTTTGCAGTCGGCGGCGCCACAAGTTCACTTGGTTAATTGAATTTGTTGACCCACTGGCCGCACAACAACAACAACTATGGTTTGTAAAAGGCGGTCACTGGGGGGAGGGGAGGGGTGGCTCATGTCAATCATATATAGAATCGCACTTTGCGCACGGAATCGGAATTGGAACTCGAAATGAATCTTTGAATTTTATTTACATTTCGATTCGTTTGAAAAAAAAAAAACACTATCTATATAGAAACGCGTGGCAAAGATCATCAGAGGTGCGCCATAAAAGGGGGTAATTAACATAATACGGTTTTTTATTTCTTTAAACTTCAGTTCAATAGACTTAAGACAGATGTCAGGAAGAATATCAAGGAATGCTTTATTTTGGGGAACTACTAGTTCATTGACGCCATTACTGGTTCATTGCCATTACTAGTTCATTGACGTTGCAGCGCATCACTGGTTTCTGAGTCATTGGAAGTATTGAACGAGAGAGAGAGAGAGGGGGTAGAGGGTGCAGATGTGTTGGGGTGCAGCTTTATCAGCCATCAGCTGAGAGACTCAGACTGTGCCCCACAGACGCCCAATGCCAGAGTGTTTGCCTTGTAGCCTTGTACTTGAAAGCGCCGTTCAATGACAGGCGAGAACTAGTCGATGGCAATCGATAACATTGATCGGAAGTGGTTGTCAGATTATAACTAATTAGCGGATTATCTTACGGCATTATGTTCTGTGGCCTCTTGTTTCCACAAATCAATAGTTATGTTGTTAGGTATTCGATTAGTTCGATAAATAGTATCGATTGTTTTGATAGGATTTATCAATGTTTATCTTGTATACATTTTATCGATATTAATCGTTGGAAATCGATAGAAATTCTTCGTTAGAACCAAAACCCTATGCATTTAAGACTTTAAAAGCACTCCCCGACTAAAAAATACTCTATTTTTTATTTATTTTCTTTGTAGAAACTGCCGAATGTGGGTGCCTACGTCCGTTTGATCGCCGCCGATGGACGCAGCCTGCGCGACGTGCTGGCCGCCAAGGTGCCCCAGGAGCAGGAGCGCGTGAAGAACTTCCGCAAGCAGCATGGCGCTACCAAGATGGGTGAGACCACCATCGACATGATGTATGGCGGTATGCGCGGCATTAAGGCTCTGGTGACTGAGACTTCCGTGCTGGATGCCGATGAGGGTATCCGTTTCCGTGGCCTGTCCATTCCAGAGTGCCAGAAGGTCCTGCCAGCTGCCGATGGCGGTTCAGAGCCCCTGCCCGAGGGTCTCTTCTGGCTGCTGTTGACCGGCGAGGTGCCCACCAAGTCCCAGGTGCAGCAGCTGTCCCGCGAGTGGGCCGAGCGTGCCGCCCTACCCCAGCACGTGGTGACCATGTTGAACAACATGCCCACCACCCTCCACCCCATGTCGCAGTTCGCCGCCGCCATCACGGCGCTGAATCACGACAGCAAGTTCGCCAAAGCCTACTCCGATGGTGTTCACAAGAGCAAGTACTGGGAATACGTTTATGAGGACAGCATGGATCTGATTGCCAAGCTGCCCGTTGTGGCTGCCACCATTTACTGCAACACTTACCGCGGCGGCAAGGGCTCCCGCTCGATCGACTCCAGCCTGGATTGGTCCGCCAACTTTGTGAAGATGCTCGGCTACGACAATGCCCAGTTCACCGAACTGATGCGTCTCTACCTGACCATCCACAGTGATCACGAGGGTGGCAATGTCTCTGCCCACACCGTACACTTGGTGGGTTCGGCCCTCAGCGATCCCTACTTGTCCTTTGCCGCCGGCATGAACGGTCTGGCCGGTCCCCTGCACGGTCTGGCCAACCAGGAGGTGCTCGTCTGGCTGCGCAAGCTCCAGAAGGAGGCCGGCAACAATCCCTCGGAGGAGCAGCTCAAGGACTACATCTGGAAGACCCTCAAGTCCGGACAGGTGAGAATTTCTTCATTATTCCAGTGGCTCGAAGGACCAAAAACTAATCTTTTATGATTTTAGGTGGTGCCCGGCTATGGTCATGCTGTGCTCCGTAAGACCGATCCCCGTTACACCTGCCAGCGCGAGTTCGCCCTGAAGCACCTGCCCGACGACGAGCTGTTCCAGCTGGTGTCCAAGATCTACAAGGTGGTGCCCCCAATCCTAACCGAGACCGGCAAGGTGAAGAACCCCTGGCCCAATGTAGATGCCCATTCCGGTGTCCTGCTGCAGTACTACGGCATGAAGGAGATGAACTACTACACCGTGCTCTTCGGTGTGTCCCGTGCCCTCGGTGTCCTGGCCTCTCTGGTCTGGGATCGTGCCCTGGGTCTGCCCATCGAGCGCCCCAAGTCGTTCTCCACCGATCTGCTGGTAAAGATGGTACAGAAGTAAACGAGTCCCCCCAAGAAGGGATTCGCCAAGGGCATCAGCTGGTGGTCGAACAACAAGGATGCAACACAAGGACGAGGCGAAGGCTAAGAGGATGGGGCAGCAGTAGATATTGTAATAGACGAGAGAACAGAGAGAGAGAGATAGCGAGTGAGAGGGAGAGAAAGGGAGAGGGAGAGAGGAAGCGGAAGTGGATAGGGTCCGGATATCGATATGACGAAGCTGATATTGAAAGTTGAATACATATATATATTCATAAGTTGAGGAGAACAGCAACCAAATACGAACCAATAGGAAAACACAGAAGAAGAAACCAGAAGAAAACTGCAAACTGCAACCTGCACTGCAACTGCAAAACAATAAGTTGAAAATAAGGCAGAAACTTATTTTTAGTAGTAAAATAACTAACGCAAATGATGATGAGAAACCACTTAATTAATTGTATAAGCTATATATATATATAGACATATATATATAGGGACAAGCAGAGATGCGATAATGTTTGCGCCTAAATTCTTATGTTCAGCATTTTCTTCCACCAACACACCCACCTGCCATCCTCGATCCTCGATCCACGATCCCCTCCCTCCGCCTACTCTCTATTTTTATTAGTTTATGTTTCTATCAGCATTGCTGACCAGCCGACTAACCAACCACCACCTCCCCCATTTGACCCCACCATCACCCCGCCTGAAACAAAAACCTAAAAACAATTACTAACTTGATAACATTTTACTTTTAATTTAACTATAATTTATTATGCAAACAAAAGATAAAAAAACGAGATAAATACAATATAAAACAAGTGTAAAGAAACCAACAAAAACATCTAAAACAAACGAAAAAAAAAACTCAATAAAAAAAACAGAACAATAAATAATATAAAGGCTAGAAATTAGTTATTGCCAACTTCACCAGTGGAAGCTGCAAATGCAAAAGTTCGTTCATTGCCGTGCAAGTGTATTCGAAAAAGCAAATCCACAATAAACCTTAGCAAACTTTCAATCGAGTGCGTGTCCTGTCCATTTCCAATAAGGGTTTATTTATACGCAAATATTTCCGACGTGTTTGGAATTCAAATTTTGTCATTTCAACCGCCCGGAAGTGTTGCCCCCCAATGTTGTGATGTGGTTAGTGTGACCAGGCGCCACTCACGAGGCTAGCTATCGTTTTGAAAAGCTCATAATATTTCGAAAAAGATTGAAAACAAAACCAAACAGATTGTTAAAGACAATATAAATTGAATAAAATGAAATTTTTTCCTATAATCCAACAAAATATGTTTATCTATTCTGGGGGTTTTACTGATAAACTTTGGGAATGGTAAATGGTATTTAAAACAATTACAGGGCTATAAATCTGAGATAAAAACTATTTCCCTAATAAAATAAATAAAGATTAGTTAAATATTATGAGATTAAACATTTTTTTAAAGTTCAAACCCCAACGGCTAGACTTTCGAGAAAAAAGCTACTATCATCACTAGCACAATCGATGAATCTATCGATAGTCCGGCGGCAGCTCAGTAAAAGCGCATGTTACATCATTAAACAATAAGAAAATAATAATTTTAGCTAAAATTGGCGCAACCGAGAGCCTGGCAGCCTGCAACTGGATATCCAGCGGAAATGTACGTGCCCGGCCACTCAATCTGAATCAATATTCGTATCTAAAAACCGATTCTAATGCCCGAGCAGCCTACATTTTTTTTTGGACAACACGCACGCAAACCAGTGGAATATAAATAAATAAATAAAACAAATATAAAACAATACAATGAGCGAGAGCACTAATCAGGTTAGTTGTGTACGAAGAGCGGGTGGTGCGGTGGGCGGAGAGTGCTGAGAGAATATCAATTTGGTTTTTTTTTATCAATTTTTAATCAATTGTCAAAAGAAAAAAGCAGCAGCAGCACTCGACTAACATTCGATTCGATTTTATTAGTTCTGGTTTTGTGGACTATATATGTTTGTATTTGTTGCAGCGCAATTTCTTCAATTTTTATTTTGAGTGTGTGTGCAATTTGCGTTGCGGTATTTTCATTTATACACCTGCGGTGAAATAAATAGAACTTGCCAGTTAAAAGAAGGGGAGAGGGCCATAAATGTCACGAGTTTTCTCAGGAAAAAAAAATAATAATATTCTTATAAATAGAATATATTTTTTAAATTTTTTATTTTTTTTTTTAAATCTAATGCTATTTGCTCTACCGTCACTGTCTTATTTACACTCTCTTAGTTTTTACTTTTTTTTTCGTTTGCTTTTGATGTCATAATTTCATAATTTTCTTTTTCTTTTCTTTCAGTTTTGTGACGTTGATTTTTGAACAAAAAAAAAAATATATAGCAAAAAAAAAAAAGGATTAAACGATTATAGCTGCACTTTATCACGTTAAGAATTTTAAGTTCATTCATAGCTCCCGTCGGCGGGGAGGAGGAACAACTGAAGAAGATCCTGTATATCCTTAGGCTGCATACCTTTTGTTTTGTATCGCAATTCTCTTCTTCTCCCCGACAAACCAAACTATTTCCAAATCATACAATATATATAACCCGGTACGGATAACGAAATGGCGGCCTACTTGAACCGCACCATATCGCTGGTAACCGGGCAAACGGGCCCCAACGACAACGACGATCGCAATTCATCATCCACGGACACGGTGGACCAATCCCTGTCGCGTCTCAACTCATCCCTTCAACCGTCGGGCTCCACGACGTCGGCGAATCTATTGCCGGGTACACGGCCCTATCAACTGAACGACAAATCACCGCTCCAGGTCTTTGTCCGGGCCAAGAAGAAGATCAACGACATTTACGGCGAGATCGAGGAGTATGTCCAAGAGACCAAAGAGTCCATCAATGGTAAGATATATCTCAAATATCGTGCCAGACAGCCAGACTAATTGGTAATCCCATTCTGTAGCCCTTCACGCCGAAGCGGAAATTGTGGACAAGGAGGAAAAGGAGCTCTTCGAAAGCTATGTCGATAAGGTGGCCAATATTAGGCAGGTGCTGCAGCGCGATCACATGAAGGTGGCCTTCTTCGGGCGCACCTCCAACGGCAAGAGCTCCGTCATCAATGCCATGCTGCGCGAGAAGATCCTGCCCAGTGGCATTGGCCATACCACCAACTGTTTCTGTCAAGTGGAGGGCAGTAATGGCGATGAAGCTTACCTGATGACCGAGGGCTCGGACGAGCACATCAACGTGGTGGTATGTACACCCTACTGTCTGATCCACTGCCTGGAAATCTTGTACTAACTAACAGGTTCTCTTCCATCCTAGAACATCAAGCAACTGGCCAATGCTCTGTGCCAGGAGAAGCTCTGCGAGAGCAGTCTGGTGCGTATCTTTTGGCCGCGCAAGCGCTGCAGTCTGCTGCGCGACGATGTGGTCTTTGTGGACTCACCCGGTGTGGATGTGTCGGCGAACCTGGACGATTGGATTGACAATCATTGCCTCAATGCCGATGTATTCGTTCTCGTCCTGAACGCCGAATCGACAATGACGCGTGCCGAGAAGCAATTCTTTCACACCGTCTCCCAGAAGCTAAGCAAGCCGAACATCTTCATTCTGAACAATCGGTGGGACGCCTCGGCGAATGAGCCGGAGTGTCAGGAGTCGGTAGGTTGTCCATGCTCTCCCATACGCTAGCTGTTCCCACCATCTAGAGTCCTGCAATTACCCATAAATTGAAGTATGAAGTTAGGGGGCATATTGGCTAGAAATTGGAATTATCTCGTACCTATGCAGGGCTCTAAACTAGATCCTTTTATCTTGTAACGATTCCGAGTCCTTTTGGTGTCTATTTGTTGATGTGTATCTTTTGTTTTTGTTTATTATCCTATCAATCAATCAATCGATCAATCAATCAATCAAACAAACAACCAAATCAAACAACTATCCACTGTAATCAACGCCAGGAACTGGCTAAGGTAATGATTCTGAGCTAGATCCGCTTTTTGGCTTTCTTCCCTCGCCCTGGTCCCTGGCTTCCAAACTGCCCAATTGCCCAGAATAGTGCATCCTTTTTAATCCTGTCCTCCATTCATCATTGATTCGCAGGTTAAATCGCAGCACACCGAGCGCTGCATCGATTTTCTGACCAAGGAACTGAAGGTCAGCAACGAAAAGGAGGCAGCCGAACGGGTTTTCTTCGTCTCCGCCCGCGAAACCCTGCAGGCGAGAATCGAGGAGGCCAAGGGCAATCCGCCGCATATGGGCGCCATCGCCGAGGGCTTCCAGATGCGTTACTTCGAGTTCCAGGACTTTGAGCGCAAATTCGAGGAGTGCATCTCACAGAGCGCGGTGAAAACCAAGTTCCAGCAGCACAGTTCGCGGGGCAAGAGTGTCGCCGGCGATATGCGTTCCATGCTGGATAATATATACGAACGGATAACCATATTCCGTAATCATAAAAAGGATCAGAAGAACATGCTCACCGAACGCATTCAGGTGAGGAATCCATCTATGCTAGTTGGGGACTTTCGGTAAACATCGGTTTTTGTCTCAATTCCAGGGCACTGAGACTCAGATGATGCAGGTAACCCGCGAAATGAAAACAAAGATCCACAACATGGTCGAGGAGGTGGAGGAGAAGGTGTCCAAGGCACTGAACGAAGAGATTTGGCGCCTGGGCGTTCTCATCGATGAGTTCAATATGCCCTTCCATCCGGAGCGTCTGGTGTTGAACATCTACAAGAAGGAATTGAACGCCCATGTGGAGAGCGGTCTGGGCAGCAATCTGCGGGCCCGCCTCTCCATGGCTTTGGCCATGAATGTGGAGTCGGCCCAAACGGAAATGACCGACAGGATGCATGCCTTGGTGCCGGACAAGGAGCTGCTCGCCACCAGCACCAAAATGGTTGTACGGACCCAACCCTTCGAGATGCTGTACTCGTTGAACTGTCAGAATCTGTGCGCCGACTTCCAGGAGGATCTCGAGTTTAAGTTTAGCTGGGGCATCACCGCCATGATCCAGCGCTTCACCGGCAAGGTGCGCGAACGCAGCCAAAAGAATCAGCCGGCGTTGGTCCATCGCCAGAGCAGTATTGGGGTACACTATCTATCTTTTATATTTTTTTTTTTACTCATCTATAAAATGTATCTATAATGTCATGTTTAATCCAACAGCATAGTGTGGTTACGCCCGCCAGCTCACCGGTGGAGACGACACCCGTGTGCTTGATGCCCGGTTCTGGGGGGATGACCGGCATTACGCCCGAACAGCTATCGTTGATATCGCGGTTTGCCGTCAGCTCGATTGGATCGCAGGGCACGGTCGGTGGACTTGTTGTGGCCGGGGTTGTAAGTTGAAAAAATAAAACTCTCTTGTAACGACGCCTCTTGTGCTCAATGCTCCGCAAGCAGGTGTTTATGAAACGGTATGTGTATTCGCTGAATCCCGAACACTTGCAGATGCTGAAAACGATCGGATGGCGTGTCCTTGTCGGTGTCGGCGCCCTCTATGGCTGCATCTATCTGTATGAGCGTCTATCGTGGACCAATTCGGCCAAGGAGCGCACCTTTAAGGGTCAATATGTGCGGCATGCCACCAAGAAGCTCAAGATGATCGTCGACCTCACCTCGGCCAATTGCAGTCATCAAGTCCAACAGTAAGGATAACCAGCTAGCCAGAGCTCCCCTCCACTACATAGCTTTAATGATTTTTCGTTTCGATCGACAGGGAACTGTCGAGCACCTTTGCCCGTTTGTGCCGCACGGTCGATACCGCCACCACCGACATGAACGATGAACTGAAAACGCTGGAGGCTCAACTGAACATCCTGGAGGCCAATCAGAAGCAATTGAAACTGCTCCGCAACAAGGCCAACTACATACAGAACGAGCTGGATATATTCGAGCACAACTATATATCGCCGCAGTAGGCGGATCTGGTGTTGTATTTTTTTTGCGGGGATGATTCTAGCACGGCCTGGCCAACGGGGGGAGTCCAACTATGGATCTGAAGCAGCTTTAACCTGGACTCAAAGGAATACCTTAACAAAGAATCATTTACATCAAGGACTCTATAGCCTTTTGTTTCTTTTAAATATTTTTTCATTCTATTTTTCTTTTTTTTTTTAAACCGCATGTTTAAAGAAATTTCTTTATTTTTTTCAATCAAAATTTTTACTATTATACAGTTTTCTATTATTTTTTTTTAAATGAAAAGAAAGTTTTACGATTTTTTTTTTTGAAGAAAAAGTTAATATCCCGGCATGAGGAACGTGTGCATGGCCGGGTGCCATTGGAAATGCTATTAATGCCTCCCCCAATCCCCCCCCAACTTGTTAACCTCATTATTAGAAACTCTTGTCATTAGAATGTTTCCTTGTGTGTGTTTTTCAATTGGTTACTAGCATAATTCAAATATTATTTGACGGGTCAAGCAAACAGATGATATATAATATACACAACAACAAAAAGATACAGAAAAGATAAAAATATATACATTTATTGTTGAATGAATCACGAGCGGAAACGAAACGAAATAAAAAATATTTATGTAAGAAAAGGCTTCTATTTTGTATCGGGAACTGGGTCGGGGGCAGCGAAAGTGAGGGAGACGGAGGATGGGTCTTGAAAATGAAGGATACGATTTTTCCCCAATAGGGCATAAGTGATGGCTGTATCTTCCCCAGTTCTCATCCGATTCTCAAGCGGAGTACCTTAATCGATTTCTAGATCGATTCTCTACCATTCTGCATTAAAATCCTGAGACAAAATATTTTTTCAATTTTTTGTCCATTTTTCCTGATGGGACCCCTAGGAAATGGGGTTTTCCCCTATAGGTCCCACGGGGATGGCTATATCTTCCCCAATTCTTATCCGATTCTCAAGCGGACTGTCTTAATCGATTTCTGGATCGATTTGCCCCATTCTGCATCAAAATCCTGAGGCAACATATTTTTTCAATTTTTTGTCCATTTTTCCTGATGGGATCCCTTGAAAATGGGCTTTTCCCCTATAGGGCCCACGGGAATGGCTATATCTTCGCCAATTCTCATCCGATTCTCAAGCGGGGTACCTTAATCGATTTCTAGATCGATTCTCCACCATTCTGCATCAAAATCCTGAGACAAAATATTTTTTCGATTTTTTGTCCATTTTTCCTGATGGGATCCCTTGAAAATGGGCTTTTCCTCTATAGGGCCCACGGGGATGGCTCTATCTTTCCCAATTCTTATCCGATTCTCAAGGGGACAGTCTTAAACGATTTGTGGATCGATTCTCCACCATTCTGCATCAAAATCCTGAGACAAAATATTTTTTCGATTTTTTGTCCATTTTTCCTGATGGGATCCCTTGAAAATGGGCTTTTCCTCTATAGGGCCCACGGGGATGGCTATATCTTTCCCAATTCTTATCCGATTCTCAAGGGGACAGTCTTAAACGATTTCTGGATCGATTTGCCACCATTCTGCATCAAAATCCTGAGACAAAATATTTTTTCAATTTTTTGTCCATTTTTCCTGATGGGATCCCTTGAAAATGGGTTTTTCCCTATAGGGCCCACGGGGATGGCTATATCTTCGCCAATTCTGATCCGATTCTCAAGCGGAGTACCTTAATCGATTTCTGGATCGATTCTCCACCATTCTGCATTAAAATCCTGAGACAAAATATTTTTTCAATTTTTTGTCCATTTTTCCTGATGGGATCCCCTTGAAAATGGGCTTTTCCCCTATAGGGCCCACGGGAATGGCTATATCTTTCCCAATTCTTATCCGATTCTCAAGGGGACAGTCTTAAACGATTTGTGGATCGATTCTCCACCATTCTGCATCAAAATCCTGAGACAAAATATTTTTTCGATTTTTTGTCCATTTTTCCTGATGGGATCCCTGCAAAATGGGTTTTTCCCTATAGGGCCCACGGGGATGGCTATATCTTCGCCAATTCTGATTCGATTCTCCAGCGGAGTACCTTAATCGATTTCTGGATCGATTCTTCACCATTCTGCATTAAAATCATGAGACAAAATATTTTTTCAATTTTTTGTCCATTTTTCCTGATGGGATCCCTTGAAAATGGGGTTTTTCCCTATAGGGCCCACGGGGATGGCTATATCTTTCCCAATTTGTATCCGATTCTCAAGGGGACAGTCTTAAACGATTTGTGGATCGATTCTCCACCATTCTGCATCAAAATCCTGAGACAAAATATTTTTTAAATTTTTTGTCCATATTTCCTGATGGACCCTTGAAAATGGGGTTTTTCCCTATAGGGCCCACGGGCATGGCTATATCTTCCCTAGTTCTCATCCAATTCTCAAGCGGAGTACCTTTAACGATTTGTATTAAATGTTAGCTTTAATTTCCGTTCATTTTTTGTTTAATTATCAATTATTTAATCGTTTTTTGTTTATTTTTTGATCGGGATCACACTTTCGGTTAAATATAGTTTACATGCTTGTGCCACCGCATTGATTAGCGTTTTGTTGTTTCTTGGGCATATATGTATATAGTTACACAAAAAAAATTTACAAAATATATAATTTGTGTTGTTGTACAGAAATAAATAGGTGTGGAATACAAAATATGATAAAATATGTAGACTTTAGCTGCTCCGGCATTCGTGTATCATCGTTAAATACAATACTTGTATATACCATAATTATACTTAAACTTTTATATTTTTTGTGTTCTTTTGGTGTTTCACTTTTGTCTTTTATGAAAACAATTAACAAAAGTAGATAGCAAATTACAAGTGTGTGTTTTTTTTTCTTTCTAATATGTTTTGTTGAGTGTTTTTGTGTGTAAGGGGCGGTAGACAAGTGGATCAGTCGAAGGGCTTCAGCTTCAGCTGGTCCAAAAGCGTAAATATATGTATTTCCCAGGAAAACTAAACTGTGGGCGGATCACTCCATGAGGGGGATGGTGCAGGGGCAGAGGCAGGGGGCATCGTATCACAGTACGTTATCGTCGGTGATGGTTTAGAGGAAATAAGGCGTCGTATTCTGTTTGGGTATCACCCGTTCGGCATCCGGTACCGCCAGGAAGATCTTTGTCTGTCGCTGTTGCGCCGTCTCGAAGCTGAGAATGGCCGCCACGTTGCCGCATCGATAGCAATAGTTTGGCGCCGACCACACCGTCACCAGCTTGCCCTCAAACATGTACTTGATGCCCTCGTTCACCAGCTGATGCGCTCGACAGATTAAATCCAGATTATTGATTGCCATAAAGTCCTTGGTAACATTGTGACCAAACAGCCAGCCAGCACCGCGTGGACTCTGGCCCCAGTACTCCATGTCCTCGGGATCGGACCACACCAAATCGCAGAAGGCACCCTTGTACGGTATCTCGCCATTGCGTTCTATGGTGCGGATTTGGTCGAGGGTGATGATCTCGGGACTCAGGCCGCCGTGAACGCACAGAACCTCTTCGTCGATAATCTGAAAGGTAAATGAAATATATCCAGATGCTAACAGAAAGTAATATATATTTTAAGACTTACAGCGGCTATGGTGAGAAGGTCAAAGACTTTGCAGCAGTACTTCCATCCATTGGCGTTACCATACTTGCTGAAGCACTCGTCAAAGAAACCGTATACCTTGGTGATCTGGCGCGTCTCGTGGTTGCCCCGCAGCAGGGTGATACGGTTGGGGTACCGTGCCTTCAAGGTCAGCAGGCGTGTAAACGTTTCCAGCGAGTAGTAGCCCCGATCCACAAAATCGCCCATGAATATGTAGTTAGTGTCCGGCACTTGACCGCCAGTTCGAAACAGTTGCTCCAGATCATAGAACTATTAGGGATAATTCGTGTTAAATGATAGGGAGCACAGCTAGAGGTACTATATATCTCACCTGTCCGTGGATGTCGCCGCACACGGTGACGGGCGTGCTCACTGGCAGGATGTTTGTTTCCTCAATTAGGATGTCGCAGACCATGTCACACAGCTTCTTGAGTTCATTCTCGGGCAAGTACTTGCACTCCTTCACTATCTCGATCCACTTGTCGACATCACCCATGTTTTTGAATTAAGAAATATAATCACAAAAATTCGTGTTATTCCGATTTTTGGAGATGTGAGTAAAGGTGGCGAAAGTTCGATGGAAATATCGATAGTTATAGATCGATACATTTAATTTGGCTATAAAATGTTTTAAATGTTTATAAATAAAAATTAACTGGTTGATGTTTATCTAGTTTTTATTTTAAATTAGCTTAATTAATAATAAATCAAAAATATATAGCATTAAGATTATTTGGAGAAGTTGCATATATTTTATTTATAAAAAATAAGAATACTTGAGAAGAGACTAAAAATAAATTAACACTCCCTTTTTTGTTGTACATAAACAATGTTGAAATGATTTATTATTTTATAATATTTAGATTATATTATTTAAATAATAATAAGAGATCGCAGTGTGTACACACTTTTTACTAGTTCCAAGCTTACCTGTTATCGATACCAGTTCCATTTTTTGCGCGCCACACTTTCAAATCTGAAGCTTATTTTCGTTTATTTTTGGCGCCATAAAATTAATTGCAATTATCTTTAGCTGCTACAAATCATAATTAGCCGCTAAAAATAGCCAGCTTTTAACGCCCAAACCCAACCGCCCTGCTTACCCTTTTTTATCTTATGTTATTTATTTAGTGTTTATTTTTTTCGGTTCGCTGGAAATAATTACGCTTTTAAATTTTATTCCAATGCTTGTTGAGCTCTTTCGTGTCTGTTTTGTTTTCTTTTACCCTTTCCCTCAGGTTTTCCCATGTTTTTGGTGGGTGGAAAGAGGGTGTTAAGGGTTATGAGAAGCGTGCTGGCATGCGTTTTCCTTTGGCTGGTGTGGGGGTGGCATGGGTTAATGGGGCTGGGAGTTTGTTTTTGTTTAGAGTCTCATTAGTGAGGCGCACGCCGCCATTTGATTGCCATTTTTGTTGTTTTATTTTTTTTGTTTAGTTTTCCTGCGTGTTCAACAGGAGCATCTTGACTTGGGGAACGACAATTTTCGAATTAAAGGAAAACGAGTTTGGAGTAGCTTTTATTTTGCGATTTCGACTAGGGGCTACAATTGTTATTTTAAAATTTTGCTTAGAAGGAACGTTTTTTTTATATTAAAAATGTATAATATAAAAATAGCTATAAAATTTTTACTTATTCCTATTAAATAAAATCAAACCAATGCTTCCTTTCAGTTTTTTAGGTAATTTTTAATAAATCTATAAGAGGTATTTTGAAAACATTACAGAATAACGTCATAACTTTAGTTTTGAATGTTTTTCTTGCAATTTAGGATATATTTCCAGAATTTTATGTTTCCTCCATTTTGTAACAAACCACGACTGGAATAGAATCTTGGTATAGAATGAACTGGGAAAGGAAAGAAACCTAAACGGGGAGGGTATTATAATTTTATTTAAATAATTTATTAATAAATAAATAAGCAGATATTTTATTGTTAAAGATATGTACATATACCTCCTTTTTTTTCTTCTCGCTCTCTATTTTCTCCCACTCCCACTAGCATCTCATCCTTTTTTTTGTTGGCGTGCTCCATCATTAGTGCCGTTACTTTATTTTCTTCCGTTTTGGTATTCAACTTTAGTTTGTTCGCTTGCTTTGGCTTTCTTTTTTGAGCTTTCGTGCGTCTTTTGGCCGTTTGGCTCTTCTCCTTTCTCTGCCCCTTGTGTTAGTGTGTGTGTTTGTGTCCTCTTCCTGCCATTGTTGTTTGTGTCCGCGTGGCACAATGTTGACAATTAAGTTAAACTTGTTTTCTTACTTCGTTTCGTTACGTTTCGCCAATTTTGCCAGTTTCTTGCCCTCCTCCCACCCCGCCACAGCCTCTGTCTCTAAAAGTCAAAGTCCTGTCGTCTGCGGCTGATGTGGCTGATAATTATGTGCCCCCTGCACGGACACAGGACAACCGTCAGCGGACAGCGGACAGTGGACTGTGGACAGTGGACAGGCTCTTGATTTCATTTTTGCCAGAACAGAGATAAAAATCCTGAAAATTTTTCGGCTGGCAGCAAACTAATTTAATTAGAATTTCTTGGACTCACAAAGAAATTATCACTTCACCCAGACTTGCATCAAATAATTACAAAAAAATAGTAAAAATAAAAAAAATTAATTTGGTTTATTAGTTGTTTTGAGCTGTGCAAAAAGATGGCCAAAAGACCAGTATTTCTTTTTTTTTTTTTTGGCCATTTTGTAAACGGCTTTCCTCTTATTGTTGACGTTTTGTTAACTTTGTTTTTTCCTTTAGCGTGTCCTTTTTTTTTTTTTGTTCTTTTGGCTTTTTCGACTGCCCCTTGCTCTTGTCGCTTGAATTGTCGTCGAAAATTAAATAAAATTAATTACCGCGCAAGTTTGTATAAACACACACTCCTACACACACACACACACACACACTCCTATAAACGCCCACAACAGTGACTGCCACCCACCTGGCATTTGATTCACGCGCGTGTGCGTAAACGGCGACCTCAAGGAGCCCACAGTCCGCCCACAGTGGCATCAACATTTAAAATCAACATCCTGCCACGGACACACAGGGACGCAAACATCAGCAAGTCGCAACCGCAGGACGCTGGGGCCAAAAGGATTCCAGTTGACCAATTCGGAGGTGTGACTAACAACTCATCAGCGAGGTAATGAAGCTTATGCTAATTTGGTCCAGGATGCGTGGAAATTGAAGAGGTACTTCCCCTTTTTTTTTAATTTTTAAAAAGACCCGGGTTCGACTCCCAAAACTATTACTTTTTCCGACAAAGGCAACCCTACAATTAGCTTAAAATTTTTAAAAGTAAGTTTTTAAAAGTCTTAGGTTTGTTTCTTTATCAATAAAGTTAAAATTTTAAATATATATATCCATTTAATTAGATCTTAAATTAATTTACAGACATTTAAGAAGCTTTTTAAACATTTTCATATAAAATTTTAAAATAAATATTGTAAATCATTTGGAACTGTGTTCGATTCCTGCTTTAAATAGTCCATTTTCTTTAATTTAATATTTTATATTTAATAATTTATTTATCTAAAATTAAGTTCAAAACAAATTTAAAATCTTCCTTACATTGACCATCATTAGATGGCTTCACTGTACCTCATGGCAAGAGCGTGTCGCCGGCCTTTCCATCATCATTATCAACAGTTGCCATTCAGCTACTTGGAGGCACAGCAGGCGTAAACTGGATACGGCATGGAGACCCGGACACAGGACCCAGAACCCGTAGAATTGGAGAAGTGGGGACCAGGACCTGGAGCCCGGATCCTGGAGTCGGCAGTTGCCGTGTTGCTTTAAATTATCTGTTCTTGCTGCCGGCGCCATCTCATCCTTCATCCTTCCAAAGCCCCCATCTCACAAACCGCCCTCTCTAGCTGCCATTTAACGCGCCACTGTCTCGGCAACTTTAATACACTGAGAATAAAATATATATACAAAATGTAATTTTACTTTAAAATATTTATTTGCCTATTTGTTAATTTTTAATATTTTTAATATTTTAATAATAACTTTTTTCTCAGCGTGTACACTTCCGAGGGCAACAACACTGCCATGTTTTGCTGTCATTTTTAGGCGGGTTCTCGTGTCGTTTCGGCCACGTTTTGTCGCGCAGCTGGTGGTGCTGAGTTTGGTGGGTGGTGGATAGTGGGTGGTGGGTGGCATTTAGGGTGCTCCTTCTCCCTCCTGGGCTCACACACCTCTCAGTACAATTTCTTTGTCTCTGTTGTGTCATTTCGTGCGTTTGCTTTGTTTTATTTATTTTAACTTTTATTCCCCCTTCTCCATCTCTGCCTCCCCTTTCCAGCTCCATTCCACTACTTCTTCTTCCTCACTTATTACTATTACTTGTTGTTGTTGTTGTCGTTGCTTCTTATGGCCTTTTGACTTTTTACTGCTTTGGCATTTGACTTTTGGCTTCCTCTCTACCCATCTCTCTCTCTCACTCACTCTGCCTATCGCCATTGCTCCAAATACAAAATGGAGGCGTTGCTCCTCGGTGAGGGGCGTGGCGGTGTACAATAGTTTGTGTTTGTTGCTGCGATAAAAACGAAAATAAAAGCCAAAGCATAGAAGATAAAATTAAATAGTGACCACCGAAAGGGGCGCTGCAATGAGGGCGTGGTCCACGTACAAAAACTAATCGTTCAATTAACTTGCCCCCGTTAGGGAGTACCAGAGGGGGGAGTACCATACCACCTTAAAAAAAAACTAAAAAAACAGGAAGAAAAGGAGTATGTGTAGATTGTATTTGAAGATAGAAGAAACACTGAGAGAATTTATTAGCTAGAGATTCCTATTTTATAATTAACACTTTAAAAATAATAAAAAAAAAATGTATAAATATTCAAATTAAATTTCAAATATTTTCCCAAAAAGCTAACCATTTATTTTATGAATTTCCAAAAATATTAGCTTTTCAAACTTTTCTCTTGTTTACGCCTATTAGTCCTCCCTCTCTTCAATTCGGCAGCGTAATGGGGCGAAGAATTCCGAAGGCAGAGAGCCAGAGAAACGGAGTAGCAGCCAAAGAGACAGCTACAGCTCTTTAATTTCTTTTGAGCACAAAACAATTATCAATTAATGTACCGTTATGTACCGTGTGTGTGTGTGTCTGTGTGTGTGTGTGTGTTGGTACGTGCTCCAGTAACTGTATGCGTATGTTTGTTTGGAAATGAAATTGTTTGAGCTTACATTGTCATGCGAAGAAAGCGCGTAAAGGAAAGGGTGAAAAGGCGGTAAAGAGTTAAGGGCGGAGAGGCGGTGTGGTGTGGAGCGGGCGTGGCATCAGCCGAAAGGATTGTAGCTGCATGTCCTGGCTGTCCTGGCAAACGAAGTTTGTTTGTTCGCGCGCTCGGCGGAATGTAAATATTTATTACATTCAACATAAAGCGTTGCGATATTGAAGGGAGCAAAAAAAAAAAAAACAAAAGGCACTCGATATACTCGACTATATAATACCTACTAGTACTGTAGAACTTCTAGTAGTAGAGGAGGGTCGAACTTCTCCTCACAACGAAATGTATAGCATACTTTTTTGGGTTACCATTTTCCACCACCTAGCATATAGGAATGTATAGCATAC